ACCCTGGTCTCAGAGGAAAGACAGATTCTAGCATCGGGAAATCTCTGCCTGCAGGAGAAGACACAGCTCATCTCCCCAGGGGGACTCAGGCAGAGGTGCACAGGGAACCCATGGGGGTCCAGGCATGAAAGGCTTCAGTAGGAGTCATGATCCTCAAACCTAGGGATGGAGGAAGGCTAGTGAGACCAGAGCCCATGAGGGGATAAGGGAGGCAAGAATGTGGCTTAGGGGACAACATCTACTTCAGTCACCAGGTTCAAAAAATTTGCATGTTGGACTGAACTGTGGGTGTAGCCAAAGCGTTTGCCTAACATCCGTGACAAACTGGGTTTGAACATCAAAGAAACCAGGCGTGGTGGTGCAGGCAAGTAGTTCTCAGCACTCAGGAGGTGGAGGCAGAAAGGTTAGAAGTTCAAGGTCATCTTTGGCTAGCAAGTTTGAGCCAGCCTGAGATATAATGAAACTCACAAAACAGTTTCAAAAATAAACAACAAAAACCTAATTATGTCACCTTGTAGGACCTGAAGCCACCAACAGCTAGAAGTCCAGGAGAAAATGACATTGACTCCCACTCTCTTTACTCGCTGCTGTTCCTTGGTCCTATCTGCATGGCCATGTGACCTCCCTTAGAAATGGCTCACATACTCACATACTCCCAGTAGACGCCATAGGACTTGGCAGCTCTTTCTCAGGTTCCTGCCCCTGCTGACCAAGCCACCACAGAAGCCCTGGCACGGGTGAGTGGAGCACACGGGAGACAGGAGATGGATGCTGTGTTTGTCGACAGTGCCTGCTGCGGCTGTCTCTCACTGACTTCATTCTCACACCATTCTCAGAAGGTGAGTCCTCGGTTCACAGATCTGGAGATGGAGCCTCAGTGATGGTTCCTGAGTCATCCAAGACGTCACAGCCCCTGAGAAGCTGTGTTGCTTTCTTCTCAAGAGGACACCTTCATGGCAATTTCTAAAAGAAAAGAAAACAAAACAAAACAATATAAACAAAGGTGGACTCTAGAGAGTCCACCAACCTCTAGGAAACCCTATTTCCTTCCACTTTTTGGACCTGGGCAGCTGAGCTCTGCCATCTAGTGGCCCTGGGGCTCAATTCCCTTCTTTCCAGCAGCACCATGGGATAGGGTCAGCCAGTCTTTATCTCACCGCTGTGCTGTGCTTGCACCCAGCAGGAGCGGGTGATGCTCAGGTGGCAAGGCCGCTTGGAGTAGAGACTGGCATCAGTGGGAAACACCAGGCACTGATAGATGGGTTGAGACCAGAGACTGGCATCAGGGAAACACCAGGCACTGTGTAGATGGGTTGAGACCAGAGACTGGCATCAGGGAAACACCAGGCACTGATAGATGGGTTGAGACCAGAGACTGGCATCAGGGAAACACCAGGCACTGATAGATGGGTTGAGACCAGAGACTGGCATCAGTGGGAAACACCAGGCACTGATAGATGGGTTGAGACCAGAGACTGGCATCAGGGAAACACCAGGCACTGATAGATGGGTTGAGACCAGAGACTGGCATCAGTGGGAAACACCAGGCACTGATAGATGGGTTGAGACCAGAGACTGGCATCAGTGGGAAACACCAGGCACTGTGTAGATGGGTTGAGACCAGAGACTGGCATCAGGGAAACACCAGGCACTGATAGATGGGTTGAGACCAGAGACTGGCATCAGGGAAACACCAGGCACTGATAGATGGGTTGAGACCAGAAGTGGCATTGTCCCAGGAGGCACTGAGGCTTTGCCCTGTGCGCAAAAGATCTGTCAGATTTTAATACAGGCAGAGGGACAGGCTTGAAGCAGGGTTCAGTTTGGCTGTGGACTCTGTAGTGAGGTTTCCTAGCATCTGTCTCCATGGTTGGCAGCACCCTGCTGTGGAGTCTAAAAGTCGCTGGAGTTTGGCCTGAGGCTTTTGTTGTTGGAGACTTCTGCTTGGGAAAGTTGAAAAGGAGTAAGCCTTTTCAGGATGAGGCTTGAGTCAGGCTAGGAGGATGGGAATCCCTGTAGCAACTGGGAGGGCAGAGGGCCTGCCTGTTTTCCTACCAAGTGCCTGTCTTGGGCAGATATGCATGAATATGGTAAGAAGTGGGCTGGGAACTTGGCTAGAGAGCTGCCCAGCGACAGGGCATAAAGTGGAAACGACGCAGCTGTTAAGTGATGACGCAGGTAAAAGTTTATAGATTCGGAAAGATGCTCACAACATATTGCTGAAGGAAAAGCAAATTGTAAAATAATTGGTGCAGTATGGGCCTGTTTTGAAAAAAAAGTATTTATATGTGTAGAAAAGTCTGGCAGTGTTTGTCTGCATGTGGCAAAATTATGGCTAATTAAATATTTATATTGCTTATGTGTACTTTCTGATTTCTCTACAGTGAATGTGTAATAAAAACACTAATAAAGTTTGTACATCAAGTGCAACCAAGAATGTCTTTCTTTTGTCTCTATACACAATATCGCTTGAGAGAGCGTAGCAAGGATCCGAAAGCCCAGTGCAATTAGAATGGAACTTGAGCCTGCCTCAGGGGTCTAGGGAGGGGGCTAAGGGACAGAGGCTGGGGGTCCTTGGCTGCACTGAAACAAACTCATTTGTACAGGAGGAATTCTCCAGTTTTGGTGACACCCCTCTCCTGCCCTTGATCTTTTCCTTCCAGAATCACTTCACTTACACCTAGAAAGGTAGGCCACTCCCACCCTGTGAGGTGTGTCCTAAGTTAAAGGTTGCCCTCTAGTAAGGCTCATCCTCTAAGTTCCCTGTTCTTTAACGTTCCCAACTTCTGAGAGGATCAATAAGTCCCTGGGGCAGGAAGTGGTCACACAAGCCTTTTATCCCGAAGGGGCAATTGGATTGCTGTGAGTTCCAGACCAGCTTGATCCAAATAGCGAGTACCAGGGGACACGATGAGATCCTGCCTAAAGGGCGCTGGGAACTTCTCTCAAGATCTACCTTACAGGGCTGGAGAGATGGCTCAGAGGTTAAGAGCACTGACTGTTCTTCCAGCAATCCTGAGTTCAATTCCCAGCAACCACATGGTGGCTCACAGCCATCTGTAATGAGATCTGGTGCCCTCTCTGGCCAGCAAACATACAGACAGAACATTGTATGCATAATAAATAAATAAATCTTTTTTAAAAAATTACCTTACTATGTCATTGCCCAAGATGGGGGCAGGGAGGTATGGCTAGATCCTGAGGGGCTCCGTCCTTCCCATGCTGGGACTTGCTAGGGGAACCTCAGTGCTCATTGCATTCTCAAATACCATGTCCCTGATACGGAATAAGGGATGTTGCTATGCCAGGAGTTCAGGGGTCTGAACTGGCTCGAGCAGTGGGAGGGGCAAGCAATCAGGCATTGTGTGTAAGCTGGAGACCTGGCAGTGCTGAGCTGGTCAACTCCCTGTGCCCACTGAATGACTCACCTTGGCATAGACACAATAGTCAAGGGTGGGCACACAGCCTGCTTCCCGCTGTACTCCAGGCCCCCTTCGATGCTTTCCGAGAAACCCATTGAGCTGGGAGCTTGTACAGCACCCGGGGCTGACATCCTGGCATCTTGGGATAAAAGCAGCTCAGCCCCTGTGGGGCTGCCCTCGCCGTATGGCTCCCTCACTGGCGGCAGAGAACAAGGCTCTATTCAGCAAGTGCCCTGGAGTCGAGATCAGAAGCTCAGGCATGGACAGAGGAAGGCAGGGGTGGGGGGAGCTGAGCTGTCTGTTTTCCAGAAGCCCAAGGGCACAGATGGCTAAGGAGCCTGGGAGGGACCAGAGTGGAGAGGAGGATAGATAGACCTGAAGTCTCGTGGCAACAATCTCATCCCCACCACTGTGGATGGTGAATTCTGATTTCCCAGACCTACATATCCCTCAGAGGCCTAAAGTGTGGGAACTTGAAGAAGATAAATCTCCTGGGAGAATAATGAGGGATAGCAAGGGAGACAGGGTGTTACAGAAATAAAGACCCTAGCATGTACAGCCAACTCACTGAGGGCTGCTCTGTGGAGCTGTCAGGGGCCAGGCTTTGGGAGGAGTAAAGGGAAGCTGGATCAGGAAGCCAAAGAGGGGCTCAGGAAGGATGCCTACTGTCTTACCCTATTAGGATCCTCACACATTCCTCTGTCATGCCCCCTTGACACACTGCTAGAGGCCCAAGGTGACCCTGGGGTCACAGGGAGGGCCCCAAGCTAGGCATGAGAAGACATGATGGCGGGTTCTGGGGAGAGGACTCTGGACATCTGTTGGGAATGGGAGTCAGCAGAAAACTATAGTATTATAGGCTGGTCCTGGAGGCGGGGCATAGGTTCTTCAAGTTCCTAGCATCTCACAGGCCCATGGAGAAGTGCAGAGTGAGGGTAGCCCTGGCTTATAGGCTCTAAGAGCTGGAGGCAGCTCACCATCCCAGCTTGTTTGTTCTCTCTCTCTCTCTCTGTCTCTGTGTGTGTGTTGTGTGCGCGTGCGTGCGTGCGTGCGTACCCACACACCAAGTGTTCGTTCACTGCATAGATGTTCATGTGTGTACATATATGTGCTGAGACCAGATATCAACCTGAGGTATTTTTTTTGCGATAGCATTTCTCCCTGGGACCTGGAACTCACCAATTAGTCAGTGAGACCCAAGGATCCTCCTGATTTTCATTCCCGGACACTGGAGTTACAAGTATGCATTGTCAAATCTGGCTTTTTGTGCTCGTTTTGTGGCTAGAACTTGGAACTTCATGCTTGACAGGCAAACTCTAGCCCTCTCTTGGCCCCTCTTACCAGAAAGGGGGTTTTCTTCACCACTGGTGAAGCCAAGCTGGTATGCCCAGGGAAGCCTTGAATCTGATACAAAGACCTCGGTGGGGTGAGAGGAGCTTGCCCCATAGCTGGGCTAGGGCCCAGCTCCACCCCCTCAGGCTATTCAGTGGGGTGCAGCTGCCGGGAAGTCAGGGCAGAGCCAGTCCAGCCCATTCCTCCATAAAACCCTGACATTCCAGGTGCCAGCAGATGCAGGGAAGGATGGAGCGAAGACGCATCACCTCTGCACGTCGCTCTTATGCCTCCACCGAGACGGTGGTCAGGGGTCTGGGTCCCAGCCGCCACCTGGGTACCATCCCGCGCTTCTCTCTAGCTCGAATGCCTCCCCCACTCCCTGCCAGGGTGGATTTCTCCCTGGCAGGTGCTCTCAATGCTGGCTTCAAGGAGACTCGGGCCAGTGAGCGCGCGGAGATGATGGAGCTCAATGACCGCTTTGCTAGCTACATCGAGAAGGTCCGCTTCCTGGAACAGCAGAACAAAGCGCTGGCAGCTGAGCTGAACCAGCTTCGCGCCAAGGAGCCCACCAAACTGGCCGACGTCTACCAGGCAGAGCTGCGGGAGCTGCGGCTGCGGCTGGACCAGCTTACTGCCAACAGTACCCGGTTGGAGGTGGAGAGGGACAATTTGGCACAGGACCTCAGCACCCTGAGGCAGAAGTGAGGAAGGGGACAGGGGAAACGGCTAGTTGAGCAGTGAGACTGACCCGAGAAAGGTGCCTGTAAGGAAGGGTACTGATTCTGTCAAGGGCAGGGTCTCTCAGCTGCTATATGTATTTCCCCATGCCTGGAAAGGGAGAGCTGTCTTTGCTCTCTAATATGATGGAAATAGCCAGGACAAGACCAAACCTTCAGGGATCTGTTTCCCAAAGGTCTGCTGCCAGGGAGCTGGGCACTCTGGGGCCCCTCCACACTGAGGAAGGCTGTGTGGGTAGCGATGGCACCGGCCACCAGCCAGCGGGTGCTCTGCCCTTGCATTCATTTGTCACTGGGAATGGTCAGCATGGAGATCTGTGCCCACAAGGAGGCTCTGGTCTCTGAAATATAGGAAATGCAAGGAAGAGCAGGCTGGCCTGGGTGCAGATCCCAGATGGCGGTCTGTCACCAGCTTTTGACCGCATTCAAGTCATTCTGATCGTCATAGCTGTGAAGTAGCGGTCATGATACGATCTGTCCTAAAAGATGGTGACCAGGGGTCGAACTGTGGGGCGTGGTGCTTTGCATGGTGGACATTCGTGGGCCCCTCTGGTGCAGGAGGTGCAGCGGTGTCTGCACAGAGAGCACATGGTGGTGGGCTCGTCTGTGAGAGCATGAGCAGCTGCACCGACTCTGATAAGGCGCCTCTGTAATGAGTTAAAGCAGAAGCCCTTATCTGCTGCTCACTCTCTCAGCCAAGGCCTCTGTCTCGGAACTCTCTGTTGTTTACTTCTCCTGCCACTCTGTGGGGTCCTGTGAGAGTGTTTTATGACAGTCACCTCCAGAGAGGTTGGGACATGGATCCGAGAGTCCTCAGGAAACCCTAAATCTGTGTCCCCTATCCTAGGCTCCAAGATGAAACCAACCTGAGGCTGGAGGCTGAGAATAACCTGACTGCTTATAGACAGGTCAGAGAGATGGGAGGGATGGCCAGCGAGGGGGGAAAGGTTGGACAGATGGACAACAGGGAGGTTAATGGCGGTCCACCCAGACACAATTCCTGAACTTAACCTCCACAGCAATTGCCTGCTTCGCAGAGCCCCACAAGGACAGGGAAGACAAAACTGGAGGTTGTTGTGAGGTAGACTCTGGGGTCAAAAAGGTCCTCTTCCCATCCCAGGAGGCAGATGAAGCTACCATGGCTCGTCTGGATCTGGAGAGGAAGATTGAGTCGCTGGAGGAGGAGATCCAGTTCTTGAGAAAGATCCATGAGGAGGTGAGGCCAGGTGGAAGGAGGGAGGCCCAGCAGGTAACTGTAAGTAAGAGAAAGAGAGAGAAATAATCAGAGAAACAGAGACACCAACTGTCAGGAAGAAAGAACGTGGAAGAGAAAGAGTGAAGACGAGAGGCTAAGGGAGATGCTTTCCAGTGTCTACTACCCCTGGAAAATGCACGCATCCCTCCCCCACTACCGTGGTCTGAGAAGCACAAGGCCAGGTCTTTGGTTTCTCCTCATCAGCTTTGTGAGCCCTTCTTGTGGTCCCCTTCCACAACGAGGAGGGCATTGAAACCCAGAGAAGTTTTTTTAACAAACACCCCAAAGTCACACAGCCTCTCTGGTTTCACCCTCTCCCCCACCTGTCTCCAGCAAGATGGGACCCTCATGAAAACCCCGCTGAGGACATGGTGGCACACTTCTCAGAACCTGGGAGGTAGAGGTAAGAGGCTCAAAGTGTTTAAGGCTAATTTCAGCTCCACAGAAAAGTTGAGACCAGCCTGGTCTACATGAGACCTTGTCTCAAACACACACACACACACACCTCTGTTCTCTGACCTCAGGGCCTGGATGCAAGACATAGTCAATATTCATGCCTGGGTCCTGGCTCTGCGGCTCTGGGAGGAAGACGCCCTCAGACTTCCGTGCCATAAACATTGGGGTTTTTATTTTCACTTTTTGACAGGGTCTCACTGTGTACCCTTGACTGGCCTAGAACATGCTGTGTAGACAAATCTGGCCTCAAAACCCATAGAGATCTGCCTGATCCAGCCTCCCACATGCTGGGGTTAAAGGTGTGTGCCAGTGAGCTTGGCGCATGCCTGTTAGGTTAGGTCATATGCTTCTTCCAGTAAAGACTGCCCTGTTTCCCTGAGCTGGTGCCATAGCTGGGCAGGCAGGAGTGTGATGCTAGGAGAACCCCCAGCGGTAGCCTGGACCTGAGATTAGAGCCTCCATACTCTCCATACCCTTCTTCTACCCTACTAGGAAGTTCGAGAGCTCCGGGAGCAGCTGGCCCAACAGCAGGTCCACGTGGAGATGGATGTGGCCAAGCCAGACCTCACAGCAGCCCTGAGAGAGATTCGAACTCAATACGAGGCAGTGGCCACCAGTAACATGCAAGAGGCTGAGGAGTGGTATCGGTCCAAGGTACCTGTGGGCCAACCTGCCTCTTCCAGGCAGCCCTTCCTGGATCCATACTGGAGAATAAGGAAAGGAGGCTTGGAAAAGCACCCATATAGGTGACCAGCCTTTCTGAGAGAAGTGAGATGCCTTGCCCAGGACCACACAGGCACCGCTACTTCCCAAACTACTAATTGTTATTATGACAACTGCTTTTAACCAGCAAGATTAAACGGTTGACTAGCTTGCAATGTCACACAAGGTCTCATGTAGACCAGGCTGGTCTCAACTCCTGAGTGATACAGGGATAAAGCTGCCCATTCTAACCCATCTCATTTGAAACGCTGCCTTTTTGGCACCTCTGCCAGTCTGTGTCCTGTGCTCCTGAACATTTACTGTGTGCCGGGTACTCCCGAGCTGCAGAAACAGTTGGTCAAGGTGCTGTCAGAGTTCATACAGACTGTGGGAAACAGGGAAGGTGAGGGGTTGGGTCTTGTGCTAGACAGGCAGCCTAGAGACTCAAGAGAAGAGGGAAGGGCATCTCAGGCGGAGAACAGGCTTTGTCGGGAGGCCTGAGACACAAAGAGCAGACTGGAGATGCCGCTGACCCAGGGCACCAAGCCCGGTGTGAACTGCCTAAGCCAGTGACAGCCTGAGCAAGATGAAGGCCTGATAAATCCTTCAGTTACAGATGCTCCCGGGGCGGGGCCTGGGCGGGGCGACTCCTGAGGTCGACCCCACTTTTCTGATATTCCAGAGACCATGTGTATCCCCCATCCTAGGCAGTTCCCTGGTCTGCGCACTGTGCCATTGGGAGACTCCAGTCCTCCCTTCAACTTCAGGTCCTCTCTTGGTTTAGTTTGCAGATCTCACAGACGCAGCTTCCCGCAATGCAGAGTTGCTCCGCCAGGCTAAGCACGAGGCTAATGACTATCGTCGCCAACTGCAGGCCTTGACCTGCGACCTGGAGTCTTTACGTGGCACGGTGAGCGCGGGCAGGCACCGCTGGTCGGATGTGGGCAGCGCCACCCAAGATGTTGCTGGAAGGGGACTGGGGTCGGGGGTTGGGAGGGAGGGTGATATCTGAAAAGTTGGAAGCGGCATAGGGGGCCAGGGCAGAGCCTCGAAGCCTCTTAGAATCGCCAGACTCTTGGATCCGTCGGCTCTATCCGGCAGAACGAGTCCCTGGAGAGGCAAATGCGTGAACAAGAGGAGCGCCATGCACGAGAGTCAGTGAGTTACCAGGAGGCGATCACCCGGCTGGAGGAGGAGGGTCAAAGCCTCAAGGAGGAGATGGCTCGCCACCTACAGGAATACCAGGATCTACTCAACGTCAAGCTAGCCCTGGACATCGAGATTGCCACCTATAGGAAATTGTTGGAGGGCGAGGAAAACCGGTGAGCTCATCACTGCCCTAGGGAACTGTTGTCTCTCTGGAGTTGCAATTCCTCTTGTTCCCTTCAGTACTCCAGTTTTGTGTCCCCTCCCACCCCCAGAGTCCAGCCTAACACACAATAGCTATTCAAGAAATGTCTGAAGAATAGATACGTATTCAACCAATATTAAGTACCAGGGCTGAGGACTTGAGTTATTCCCCAAACTAAGCGGCTGACCCCCAAGACTGGCCACAAAGATGGCACTTCCCAAGGTCTGATGGGTTTGTTCTACATCCTTGGAGCTATTGTGACCATTTTTTTGCTCCTCCCATTTTCCAAGCCTCCATTCTCCTTCCTGGAGGTATTCTACGGGCAGATAATGCATAAGCTTCCTGCAGACTTTTTCAGCTCCAGGAGAGTATTGGCTTCTGGGTTGAAAGTTAGGTGGTGGAGACTGGAGAGGTTACTCTGTAGTTAGGGGTCAGGTTCCCGGCAGCCGTTTGATACTTGCAATGTCCTGTGGTAACACTCCAGTTCCAGGAGATCCAACACCCACTTCTGCAGTCATGTATGTATAGGCATGGTAGCTCATGGCCTTCATCCCAGTATTTGAGAGGAAGAAGCAGGCAGATGACTGAGTTTGAGGACACTCTGGTCTATATATTGAATTCTAGGCCAACCAAAGCTGTATAGAGAGATCTTGTCTGAAAGAGCTGGGGGCAGAGAAGAGAGAGAGGAAGGGAAGGAGGGAGGGAGGAGAGAGTTAGGGGATGTCGGGAATGGAGTCAGACTGGCCTGGCAAAGAACCTTGAGAGTTTCATGCTGTCCCTGGACCAGGACCTGGGGATGTCTCAAGGTGACCTCATCATCCCTATTCTTCCTCTGTTTTTCAGCATCACTATCCCTGTACAAACTTTCTCCAACCTGCAGATCCGAGGTCAGTATAATGGGGCCTTGTGGGAAAGGGTATTGAATTCCCACCTCCTCCCCCAGGCCTGTGGACAGCTCTTGGGAACTGGGGACAAAGGGATCTGGGTTCTCCTTGGGAGCCCTTATGACCCTCCACCACTGAGATCCTAGACAGTGCACAGAATCCTAGGGCTCATAGCTGTTCCTGTCTCACTCTGCCCTGGGCCCCCATCCCCTAGCTGTGCCCCTGCAGAACCGGTGATGTCTCCACTGATGCCAGGTCTGCTGGCCTTGAACAAGCTCTGCCCTTCTGAATGTTTTCTGTTTTGTTTTGTTTTGAACTGCTTGTCACTACAGGGGGCAAAGGCACCAAAGAAGGGGAAGGCCACAAAGTCACAAGACATCTCAAAAGGCTCACAATACAAGTTATCCCAATACAGGCTCACCAGATTGTAAATGGAGCCCTGCCAGCTCTCGGTTAGATAGATACCTGCTTTTCAGTCGCGCGCTTTCCCCAGCTTGACAGGGAGTAAGCCTTCCCAAGCCTATTTCCCCAGTCCTCTCGGCCTCTTGCTCCCAGGCCTCCTCTAAAGGACTGGTACCTTTTCCCAGAAGCTTCAGTCCCCAGTCCAGGTCCTGGTTCTGTGTAATTAGGTTATACGGACAGAGCTAGCCCATGATAAAGGGGGCTTGTCCCTGGGAACTAAATGAGAGGCTCTGAAGCCTCTGAGCAAATGCCAGCCTCTGCCTCGCCTCTTCTCTGTCGCTAGGTGGTCCCCTTGGGTCTCGCAGAGCCTCTGGGCAGGCTCTGTGTTTGATTCATGTGTCCCCAAGGCTCTGTTGCTTCACTCACGCTGATTCAGCCCAGAGGACTAGTTCCCTCTAGACTGCTGCTCTTGTAGTGAATAAAGTTTTATGTTCCCAACTCTTCATTTTAAATATTAGTGAGTGTGACATGTTACATTTTTCTCTCTAAGGGGGGCTGACCAAATTGCTTTTTACTGGTATGTGGCCCTTAAATGATTCTTGGTTACAGGGGAAAATTCCATTTGGGAATATTGGCCTTACATATTTCAGGATGTAGTTCAGCAATAGAAAGTTAATTATGCTGACCGGGTAGAGGTAAGAGTGCCAAATGTAAGACAGTCAAAGGTCACTGGAGTCCAGACCAGTGACAGAAAAAGGTAGGAATGGGGACGGGTCCCACATGCATAAATCGCTCATTTGTGCAATACATTAACACACATTAGTTGCCCCCCCGCCCCGATTTCCTAGGAGAGTAGGCACCGTGAACCCTTTTTTGTAATAGAGGAGACTGAGGTTTCTTTCTTGGTGCAGCCCTTGGTTGTCAGGAAGCCAGGTACCAGAACAGAAGGCCAAGTGGGCTACAGGACAGCAGCGGGACGTGCCCGCAGGGGGGGGGGCAGCAGAGGGACGTGCCCGCACTGGGGAGGGGGGTGCAGCAGGATGTGCCCACACTGGAGAGGGGGGGTGGCAGCAGGAAGTGCCCGCAATGGGGGGCAGCAGTGGGACGTACCCACACTGGGTGGGCAGCAGCAGGACGTTCCCACACTGGGGAGGGGGGCGGCAGCAGGATGTGCCCACACTGGGGAGCAGCTGGGAGACTCCAGTCACTTTGGATAAGTCAAGGCTCTCCCTGCCTAGTTAGATAGCCCTGTAGTCATGACCCTGGGCACATGATGGGGAAGTTGGGCACAGGACAGGATGCTTAGTATCCCAAGAGCCCACGGAGGCTTCCTCTCCTCACACCTGCAGAAACCAGCTTGGATACCAAGTCCGTATCAGAGGGACACCTCAAGAGGAACATCGTGGTAAAGACAGTGGAGATGCGTGATGGTGAGGTGAGGAAAGGTTCTGGTTGGCCCCAGGAGTTCTTGAAGCTAGACTAGGAAAAGCCTGGGACTAGTTCACGGAAGGTTCTTAGCTAAGTACTGGGGACTCCCAGTGGAGCTCTGGAAGAAGGGACTGACCTTGAATGTAATTCTCCTTTCCCAGCCCTTCCTCAGGTGGTGGGTTAAGGACAACCCATGTACCAAGCCTACCTGAGGGTCCAGCTCTGACTGGGACAGTTAGGGAAAGAAAAGGCCTTCAAATTTTACTCAAAGGAATTTTCCCGAGAGGAATGGGACTAAGAGATAGGTACAGCATGCATGGGGTGGCGGTGGCGGTAGAAATAACTATTCTTATGCCATAGTGTCAGGCATGGCATTCAATGCTTTATAAGTGGCATTTCACACCCCAACTGGACCTCAGCATGATGTAATTACAATGACAGTCAAGGGAAGACATATCCAGGACAGTTGGGGACTTGCGTTGGGATGCACAGCCTAGCACATGGTTCCAGAAGCTGTGTCAGTCCCTAATTGTGCACTGTGCACCTTCCCTGTCCCCTGCAGGTCATCAAGGAGTCCAAGCAGGAACACAAGGATGTGGTGTGAGGGGTGCCCACCTGCTGGCTCCTGCCACACAGCATGAAGGGCCCAAAGCTCTTCCTCAGACAGTCCTCTTCCCGTCCATGTCGGCATTCCCCTTCCCTTTGTTCTCATGCCTGTCTGCTGCCTAAGACTCAGTCCTTACTCAGCCTGACAGATGGCACATACCCTGCGCCTCCAACTAACAGGCTACTCACCCCAAAGGGGCAGTCAGGAGGGGAGGGGCCGGCAGCTGGGTTAGAATTGGAAGGAAAGAGGAAAGTTGGGCAGAGCAGGGAGTCTTAACGAATCATTTCCTTCATCCTTGTTGTTATGGAAACTGTTGCTAGAGCTAGAAGGCTCTGGGAACTGGACTTTGAGTTTTCACAGGCTGCTGGAGGGAGACAGAAAGTCAGACAGAAAGGGGAGGTCCCAAGGCAAAGTAGCTCTAGTCAGAGACCTATGCTTCTGGAAAAGCCCTGACTGATCGAGGGGTGGGTAGGGCAGACCTGCTACCCGGAATGGCCACTAAGGCAGTCCCGAGGGTCCTCCAGAATGGTGACTTATGTCTCAACCCCACTGGGTTGCCACGCAGCTCAGCAGCCTGTGAGCATATGGAAACTTGGTTCTCAGCACTTGGAGGGGGGTGTCTATAGCATAAGTGGAGAGGCAAGTAGTACTGGGAGGGAGTATAGGTGGGGTGCCTGGCCCCTAAATGTGGGTGCAGAGAGCTCAAGCCCTGGAAGGCTCCCCTACTCAGGCTGGAGGAGCGCCAGCGGCACGGGCGGAGATGATTCGGACATTGGAGTGGGAAGAGACAGGAGGGAGGGACTTCTGTCCGTTGGGCAGGGTACAGCTGTACCTCAGTAGTGAAGGTCTGTTCCTGGCTGCCTAGTCCCTACCCGCTCAGTTCTCTGCCCCGTGACTGCTGCTTCTCAACCCTGATGAAACCACAACCACCCTTTTGAGGTTCTCCATCTCATAATTACAAGCTGTTGTTCTCCAAGGCAGGGGTCCGTGTCCTTTCTTATGCATATACGTAATACTACCTATATTTTAGGCATCATCCTATTTGACAATTTGAGAAACTAAGGCATGAGCCTACTGGACTGGCTCATATTCAAGAGGCCTAGAGGCAAGTGACGTCAGACTGCCCTTCCACACCAGAGCACCCTCTCCCGGGCTGGCTGGTGGGCAGGTGATGGGAAACTGTGCCCAGAAATGGGGCTGAAAGTGTCCGCTCCACTGCCCTTTCCTCCCCTTTAAGGTCAAAAAAGGAGAGTGGGGGCCCTTCCTCCTGCCAGGACATTGTCCCCTCTCCTCCCACTCCTTGCCACTTCTACTAACCTTCAGAACAGCGCTGTCACCTTTGCTCACTAAGAAGAAATAAAGACATGTGTCACAGCCTTCCACAGAGTGGGTCTGATTTGTTCAGAAGGTGGGGCGAAGACCAATCAACTTGCTCATCACCACAGATAGCACTGAGATCCTGAACTTCTACTGCTGCTGCCGCCTGTCAAATCTGCCTCCTACGGAGCCCTGGTGCCATGACCTTTGCCCCAGAACCTCTTCTCATGCCCAATCCCTAGCCTGGGTGCCACCATTCAAGAAAATCCTGTGTTGGAGCTCCACTTTCTTCACCCATTTCTGGTCCCTGTCTTTACCTTCATCTTTTTCATGCCTGCTGCTCTGCTCTTCCCAGAACAACTGGAAGCAGAGGAAGACACAACTGCTCCCTCCACTTTTCTTCCTTTTTCTCCATCCCACCCCATCCAGTTCAACCAGAGCCCAGCAGTAGTCCTTAAAGGCAAACCACTTCCAATGTCAATGACACTGATGGGTGACCTGATGGGTATCGGTTCACTTCCTCGTGCAACCTGAGTGTGATGTGAGAAGACACATGTACCTGTCCACTTCCCTTCTGACTCCAGTCTCTGACCTCTGACCTCCCTCAGGCTTCTCCACTTTCTAGATTAGACTCGGGCGCCTCCCATGAAACTGGGGGGTAAGTTGTAAATAATAGACTTGTATGTACTTCACCTTGTCACGTGTCCCAGCCCAAGGTGCCCATTCAGAAGCATCTGGTATCATTTAACAAACATATTAAAATACAACTAGTTTTCACAGCTGGAGAAGGGTATGGGTTGAGAAGTTGGGACAATGGCAAAATGAGTAGCAACAGCAACGACAAATGTGAATGGTGACAAAGACGGCCGTGATGAGCAGGTAGGCTACCAGGGTGAGTTCTACAGCAATGCGAGTCTCAGGGTCTGAGAGCGAGGCTGGGTAGCGTCCGCGAGATGTTACTCCCAACCGGAACCCAGCGATCTTCAACCCTTGCCGCCAGCAGTAATAGATGCCCCGGTCGCTCAGCTGGGTGAAGCGGATATGGAGATGGTTGCCATGGTCGATGAACACTCTCATGGATCTGTTGACACCTTTTAGGTACTGTGTGCGGTAGAGGGGCTGATGGTCTTTGTCCCAGGCCACAGCATGCTCTGGCCTGGCCCCGGGACAGGAGATGATGAGGCCATGGCCTAGCCTCTGCTGATGGAATTGAATGGGCACCTGAGGCAACCAGGGCCGGCTGCCCAGTTTGGACACGTAGTTGTAGATTGTTAGCACACCCTTCTGGACCTGAGTCCTCTTCTCACAGGACACTAGGCAGCTCTTGATCATCAGCTCAGGTGTGTGGTACCTGGTCTTGATGCGCAGTTTCCTTGGCACAGCCCGAGAGCCACAGGACACAACGTCGGGCAGTGTCTTCAGGTACCGAGGGGAGAGACCAGGGTTCTGCAGGTAGCAGAGTCCAAGGCGCCACTGTTCCCCATGCACCCCACAGCGGTCACAGGGGGTCCACTCCCAGAAGGTAGTGAAGACATGGAGGCTTCCGTAGTATTCATCTGGCAATGGCTCCTGGCCCTTGTCCTTGAACGTGGCTACCATTCCCTCATGACTTTGGATGTCCACATCATAGGCATAAAAATAGTCCCCCTTGTGGGTGCCACAAAAATATAAGCCTGAATCCTCTGACTGAGCCCGGAAAACCAACAGGCTGAACATGCGGATGCTGAAGCGGACCAGCATGCTGCTGCCTGCTCGAACATGAGCTGCCTCTGTGAGCAACCGCCCATCGAAGTCAGTAAGCACAACAGTGTGGCTGCTCCCCAGGTGCTTTTGGTAATACCAGACCACGGTCGAAACATCCTCAGGTTTGCAGTGGCAGGGAAGCTCAAAGCTCATGTCAGCCAGATAGGCAGCGTTATCAAACATCAAAAAAGCCGGGCAGGGCGTCCTCTGAAAGATGTTCTCCTTCTCCACGATTTCAAAGGCCTGGAGACTGACCCAGGCACACAAGAGCACAGTGGTGTGGGCCAGCCTCATGCTTGTAGGAAGGAGGGTCTTGAGGGGCCAGGGCAAAGCCCAGGGCACCAAAGACCTGTGGCTTTTTAGAAATCACTGCTGAGAGGAGGCCACTACATAAAGAAAGGTTCAAACAACCAGTACAAGAAGCCAGAAAGTGCAGGGGAGAGAGCCAATGCAAGACAATTTATTCCCAGCTGATGTACAAGGTGCTATTCTAATGCACAGGACTGATCTGGGGGGGGGGTCATTCTAGAACCTAACACTCTCTCATCTTTCTAGAACACTGGCACTCACCTAAGAATGGGCTAAGGGAAACTAGAATGAGCTCTAAGCACCCTTGGCCCCGCCTACCCTGGAGAATATCCCTTCAGCAATCTGAGAGATAGGACAGAAACCCTCTGGTCATCTGGGATGCTGGCCAGACCTGAGCCAATGGACTGGGGATTTCCCAGGCTCAACCTGAGAAAGAACTAGGCCTCTGGGGGAAAATTCTGCATCTCAAATGAAGGAGCCTTTGCTTATTATTGATTGGCTGTTCATTCACTGGCTTTGGGTTATAAATATTCTGGTTAAGAGTTATGATCAGTGTTTATATTTTATCAGAGGTCAGTGAGTTTGCTTTATTTTTTCCCTCTAGGAGGGAGTTTTGTGTGGCCAGAATTTAGTTGCAAACACACCCACTTCTCAAGGCTAGGGACGTGGCCAACTCATAAGGTAGGGAGCAAAACACTCTAAACCAGTAGGGCCCTTTGCATCCTGGGGAGCCACATAGATAAAATTACCGGTTGGAGAAGTGGGCAAGCCCACTACTTGAAAAGGAAGTAGGTGCGGCTTTCTCACGATAGTTCTTTCAATACCTCTGCAGAAAACCCAAGATACCAACACAAAATGCGTTCCAAAGGGGCTGGCGGGATGGCTCAGTGGTTAAGAGAACCGGTTGCTCTTCCAGAGGAATGGGGTTGGTTCGATTCCAGCACTCAAATGGGAGCTTCCAACAATCTGTAACTTACAAGCATCTGTAACTACACTTCTAGAGGCTCCAATACCCTCTCTGGCCTCCTCAGGCACTAGGTACACACCTGGTGGTCATACATACATGTAGGCAAAACACTCACACACATAAAATAAAACAAGTCTATTTTAAAATAAAAAAAAATGCTTTCTGAGACCACTGGGGAATGCTGAGGGCAGCCAGTTCCATCAGTGGAGCCCATACAGCCCTCGCAGTTCCTGTAGGAGCCCCTCCTCTCCCTGCAGCCCAGCAGATGGCTCCTCCAAGCTGAGCCTCTCCTGCATGGGTCTGGGGGTGCCCATGGCCTGTAACTTCTGAAACAAGTGCTGGCAGCTCTCGCGCTCTGCCTGGCTCAGCAGGCTCAGGTTCAGGGTGAACCGCCCCGTGTTAGCCAAGCTGTGCAGGATCTCTAGTACTGCCGCCCGGTCACTTAGCCTCACATGCTCAGCCAGTGCCACCAGCAGCTCCCCAAGAAGTCCAAAGCCTACATCCATCTGGAAGAGGTGGCCCAGCTTGGGACCCCCAAGCTGAAGCAGGGCTTGGTAGCGCTCTGGTCCACCTCTTAGGTGCCGACGCCAATCACGGTAAAACTCTGCAGAGGTTGCAGGCTGGAAGGGTGATGTCTCCTGCATTACAAAGGGAAACAAGTCCGGAGCTCAGCTTGCCACTCTGCAGCTGTGATGGGGAGGGGGGTTATAAGTTTTCATCTTGGTGCTGCAATTGTTCCCTGAGCTCTGGGAAGGCTGGCCTCTGCGGCCTCCTTTTCAGACGAGGGAGCTGGGGAGGGAGGAGGAAAAGAGCTGGGGAGGGAGGAGGGAGGAGGGCCCAAGGGATCCAGGCTATGATTTGAAGGTCTCCTTTGTACTGGGGTTTCCTCCTGAGAAAGGAAACATAGCTCTTGGCCTTTTAGAGTAAGTCAGAGCTTGCTGGAGAAAAGGAGGTGGGGTGGGGAGGGGGGGGAGTTTACTGTCAATCTCTGACAGAGAAGAAGGAATTCAAAGTGTCAAGGGTCTGTCAGGCTAGGTCCCCCTCGGATACTGCCGCAGGGTTGTTAAACTATTTCCCACCTGTCTCAGAAGGACTGCTGCAGGACTGCCGAGCCCAGCTCATCCCAGTCCCACCATCTGATTGCTGTTCTAGGATTAGAGGGGGAAAGCCTGTTTCTGTTGGCTTCCGGGAGACATAAGGAAGTGGTGTGTGTTGTAAGAAGACAGGGTCATAGCTTTAGCATGGAGAAATCCTGCTGGGCTGAAGAGGTTGGCCTGCACCTACCTGGGGTATTTCAGTGGCCACATCCTCAAAAGTCCTTTCCCTAGTAGTGTGACAGTTCCAGGGCACAAGTCCTTTCCCCCTTATCTTGTCCTTCTGGTCCAGAGGTTTCAGGTGTGATGCAAGGACAATACCTCTGGTTCAAAGATAGAGATTAACACTTCGTTTCCCCGAATGTGGAGCACATGTGGGCTGGGGTCACAGCAGCAACGGTGGCACAGTTGGCTAACAGCACCCAAGCACTTCAAACGGGCGACATGCTGTGCTTACACGTGATAACTCAAACAACTGTAGCAGCCATTTCTCTGTTACAGACGCAACCGAGTCTCAGCTGGTTAAGGAGCTTGGGCAAGATTGGCCAGTAGTAGAGGGTGGGGGCGGGATGGGAGCTCAGAATGATCTGAATCTAGACTGTTTGTTTTTAACTTCCGTAGCCCACCATGCCCGAGGGGGCCCGATTATTATTGCGCTGCACACCAACCTGAACTCCTCGTAAGAAGGCACTCTTTGTTCAACCGCCCGTAACTTGGCAGCGTTCTCCCTTTGGTACTTCTCGTCGGCAGCAAGTGCAGCCTGCAGCTCTCTCTCCAAAGCCTTGAAGTTGATCGCATCATTCTTTTCCATGGCTCAGGCCTGGGAAGACAAGAAGAAAGCATATCAGCAGAGGTTCAGCATCAGGGTAAAGGTGATGCCTTGAGATTCTTTGCCAGAACGTGAAACAACCCAAAGCAACCCAGTATGTACCCTGGAGTGCTACAAAAATCTAGTTCCCTCCTTTAGAGATCAAATGGAATTGCATGATGAAGACGTATTCAAGGCTTCTCACAGAAAAACAGAATAGAAAGCTTCCAGTTTGAAGTCTCAATTTTGTTCTCTGCTTCTAACACTATGTTAGATGCTAAGGGCTAGCACAGCGGTAGAAGTCTGCCTGGCGAACACAAGACCTTGGGTTTGATGTCCAGCACCACCACCAAACAATTTGGATGTTTCAGTTGAGGAAGCATTTAGATTTTTGAACCTTTATTCTTTCACATAGGATTTCTCTATGGCAGGTTGTTGCCACAATGGACAATGGAGCACAACACACCACAGAGAGAGAGAGAGAGAGAGAGAGAGAGAGAGAGAAACCAGGATTCTTGAGCTCAAGGACAGAATTTCACACTTCACTAAATATTTTTAATGGAGGAAAAAAATATTTTCACCTAAAGGAAAATCAATGACTACACAGGGAGTTGAGGGAAAGAGGCAGAAGGGAAAAAGCTCAGTGGCTTCCATCCCCAGGGGGAAAAGAAGCTCAATGATCTACATCCCCAAGTCCCTGATCAACGGAGGGCTGCAGGCACAGGTTGCGTGGTAAGTGGGCATTAACTCCAGTCCTACCACTGCAGTTCTGCAGCCTCCCGGTGTGAGTCTCACGGGCTGATTTCACCAGAATCTACGCGTTCCAGTCTGAGCTCTGACATTCACTTGTGAGACCTCTCTCCACCTCAGAATTCTGGTGAACCGGAGCTAGATAGCGTAGTTCACTCATGATTACCTCTAGTTCAGGAAATGAGCTGGTCCCCAAGCTCCACCACCACCCACGCCGACCCCAACGAGGGGAAGCGGAATGCTAAGTGGGCTGTGTTAGCAAGTCAGCAATTGGACTCAAGTGTCTCAGATCCTGTCCAATCATTTTTGGGGGGGGGGGTTGTCTCGCTATGTAGGGCAGGTTGTTCTCTCCAAAACATCTGCGTTCATGATCTTTCCTCCAGGCTCTACCTCGGGAGCAGCTTAGACTCCCACCACCCTCCCACCTCCCTGAAGAGGTCTAAGCCTTCCCCATCATAGAATAACCAGAACAGTCCCCTTTCCTGTCCCTAGACCCTCACCCAGCAGCCCCGATCTTGAACCCCTTGCTTTGGGGGAAAATCCCCGATCTGTTCGAACACCCGTGTGTCGCCCGCCCAACAGCGGTTGTCGCCTAGCAACGGCTCCACTAGTCTGCCCACGTGGCCCGCCCGAAGGCCCTCCCCTTCAGGGTGTCCCAAGGCGCCTGGTCAGATTCGTGAATCCTCCGGCCTTGTTTTTCTTGGGAGCAACTCACGCTTTGTTTTGAGGACCAACAAGTCGGTCTTTCCCGTTTCTGTCTCAGAGGCCAACATTCCTCGAAGCCGTTTTTCAGGCAAAGGGCTGTCCGCTCAGGCGAAGCGGGCCGGCGACGCGCTCGGGGTCCTTCCTGGAGCCTGGCGCCGGCGTTGTCGCGGCGTGCAGCGGAAGCGCGGGCTCAGGCGGCGGACCGGGAGCGCTCTGCTGAGCAGGAGGCGGGTGAGCTGACTCGGGAAGGTTGGGACACGAGAGAACATGAGCTTGGGAGAAGGCGATTTATATAGTATTTATCCCTTTCGCTTCACACAGGGACAGAGTGAAGCCTGGAGTGGGAAAGGGAATGAAAGTCCCCCCCCCCCCCCCCCGCAACACACGCTCACACCATTTCCTCGATACCCTGCATGGTTTAAATCCCGTCCCTGGGTGGAGAGAGGTGGGGCTCTAACGACCCAGACCCCTGCCACTCCCACTTCCATTGGTGCTTCCGTCAGCGCCAAGCTTCGAAATATTCGGCATCCGAGCTGGCTGTGATGGCTAATGCCTATTTCTCCCGCTCTGGCCACCGAAGCTGGAAGATTGTCGCAGGTTCAAGGCCAGCCTAGGCTAAGCATTGAGTCTGGTTCAAAAAGATAACGCAGAAAAGATTGAGCATTCCTTTGAGGATCTGCGTTGTAGCGGTGAGATGCAGGTTTAGTATTTAGAGACTAGCTCTTCTTAACTAAGCATGTTATTAATTCACCCCACCCCCCAAAAAAACCCCGAAAAACTTGTTGAGGGCCTATTGAGGGTCTGTTTTGTGCAATACATTGTTCTTGTATGTTTTGTCCTCCGATTTATTATTAGCATTTATCAGTGACAAATATACACTCCCGTTCCCCAAGTACTAGTCAAGCAAAGGCTTTGTTTGCTTGGCTGGGGATATAACTCAGTGGTGGAGTGTTTAGTGTGAGGCCCAGGATTTGATCCTAAGCACCCAATTAGTATGGGGGGGAGTGCTTGGCAAGTGTGTATGGGGGAATTTTTAGAGCGACAGATAGGTGATATTAAAGGAGAAACTGAGTTAAATGTGCTGACAAGGTATAAGTAGCCCGAGATGATGGGAATGACAAGTCCAGTGGTTCTGAGGCAGAAGTGACCCTGGCTTGTTCCCTAAACAACTTTCTGTAAAAGTTTGTGCCATCACCTGATGGGAGTCTTGGGAGAATAAAATCAACATAAATGGGGTGTGTGCAAATAGATAAAATGAGTAAGGCAGAGAAGTGGAGAAAGTACTGGACTCTGGGGAGATTCTTCAGTAGGTTGGTCAGTCATGAGTTAACTCCTGAAGGATGGATGTAAAGGAGACAGGCTGTGGTGCAGGCTTTCAGGACTTGCCAGATACTGACCGTTCTCTTCTTGAATTTTAGCATCATGGATACTGACTTGTATGATGAATTTGGGAATTATATTGGACCAGAGCTTGATTCTGATGAAGATGATGATGAACTGGGAAGAGAGACAAAAGATCTTGATGAGGTAAAACAAAACAAACATTGGGGTTTTTTTGTTTGTTTGTTTTTCTTTTTTTGGTTTTTCGAGGCAAGGTTGTTCTGTGTCATAGCCCTAGTTGTCCTGGAACTAGCTCTTTAGACCAGGCTGGCCTCAAACTCATAGAGATCCACCTGCCTCTGCCTCCCGAGTGCTGGGATTAAAGGTGTGCGCCACCACTGCCCAGCTGAACATTGTTTTCTTTATCCCTCTCCGTTTTAAAACAATGCTCCCGTAATAGCCTGCATGTATTTCTAATATTGCCTTTTTTATAACATGACTTTTATTGGGATTTTGTGTTGGCCCCTGAAAGCTTAGGCAGGAATATAAGAGAGTTTCATTCATGAGATGGTCTTGGAATCCGGACTCTAGTAACAGTTCTGTGGACTCTGCTAGTTCCCTGCAGTGTCTCCTGACAGGCACGAGTGAGCTCTTTCACGACGGGCAGTCAGCTACGTCAGCGCATTTGCACCTGGAACAGCCTTGTAAACTCAGATTTTAAAAGTGGCATACAAAGCTGGGCGGTGGTGGCACATAGATTTATTCCCAGCATCAGGAGGCAGAGGCAGGTGGATCTCTGAGTTCAAGGTCAGTCTGGTCTAGCAAGTTCTAGGACAGCCAGAGCTCCGCAGAGAAACCCTGTTCGGGGGCGGCATACAAAAGGAGGGGGCAGATTTCTATTACTCCAGGTTAGGAGTGAGAGATAGAGTTTAGAATAGTTTAAGGCTCACAAAAGGCACTTTATATAAAAAAGCCAGGAATGTTATGTAATCCCAATACTTAGAAATGGGGGCAGGAAATAAAGAGTTCAAAGTCAGCCTTAGTTTCATAACGAGTTTGAGGCAAACCTGGACTACATAAGATCCTGTTTCTAAAATATAGCTCTAAAGAATTAGTGAGAAGATTGTTTTTTAAAGGAGGGGTACGATTTATGTTTTTTGTCATCACAAATATCTGATGAGAACCAACCAAAGGAGGAAGGATTTGCGGCTCCTGATTTGAAGGACTTGAGTGGCTCATGGTGGAGAACACACGGCAGCAGTTGGTTCTGTGACAGCTACTTATTCACATCTCTGGACGCTAGGAAGCAGAGAGGACAGAAGCCAGAACCAGACTGTAAGGTTCAAGGCTCCGTCTTCCTAATGTTGCACAGCAGCCTGAAACAGCACCAGGGGGCTGGGTGTTCAAACAAGCAAGTGCTGGACATTTTCATCCAAATGGCAACAGACACTGAAAGTGGCTCTAATGTTTTAGCATTGTTCAGAACATGAGTAAAATGTAGATTTAAAGAAGTAGGGTCTTTAGGGAATGAATGATTTCAGTGGAAATGAAACAGGAATGGGGTGAGAACAGCTAGCGTCATTGTATAAACGTATAGAACTGTCAATGAAAAACAGATTCGTCCCATTTCTTGGCAGTGGATTAGTCAGCTAGCAAGGAGATGATATCCTTGGGACAGCAGAAAATGGAAACAGTTTTGGCTGCCATCAGTCGCTGTGAAGGGCAATGTTGCTCAAGCTAGAAAAAATACGCTCTAGAAAAAAGAAAGTTGAAGCTATCCAGGCGATGGTGGTGCAAATCTTAATCCCAGTACGCAGGGAGACAGCGGCAGGCAGATCTCTCTTGAGTTTGAGGCCAGTCTGGTCTACAGAGTGAGTTCCAGGACAACCAGAGATACACAGTCTCAAAAAACAAACAAACAGAAAAGAAAGTTGAAGTTTCTTGTAGGTGTGGTGAAGGAAGGGTGGCTTGCATCTTCAGTGTGTTCAAGTCTGCAGGTCCAGGTGAATTGCACCCTGTGGGGTGTTAGGAAAATCTTGAAGAGATAATCTGAGAGCCACAGGAATATGCTTCAGAGGGAGAGTACTTCCCTGGTGTGCATGACAAACCTGGGTTCAGTCCCTAGCACTGCCAGATGGAGGATGGAGAGGAGAGGCCATGGAACAAAAAAAAAAAAAGAGTCAAGAAATTCATCTTAAAATGGAATTGGAGTCAAGTGTGGTGGTACACACCTTTCTTCCTAGTAATTAAGAGGCAGAGATAGGGGGCTGGAGAGATGGCTCAGAGGTTAAGAGCATTGCCTGCTCTTCCAAAGGTCCTGAGTTCAATTCCCAGCAACCACATGGTAGCTCACAACCAGCTGTAATGGGGTCTGGTGCCATCTTCTGGCCTGCAGGCATAGAGACAGAATATTGTATACATAATAAGTAAATAAATAAATATTTTTTTTTAAAAAAGAGACAGAGATAGATGGATCTCTGTGAGTTCAAGGTCAGCCTGGTTTACATATTGAGTTCTAGGACAATCAGAGCTACACAGAAAGACCCTGTCTCAAAAAATTAAACAAAAGATGGAGGTAGGACACTGCATTTTAAGATTGTTAAGTGTGAAATGTATCCATGTAGAAGTAGTGATGGGATGATTTTGAGGAGCTCCAGGTTGAAGCAGTATCTTACAGCATAATCCAAGCTGGCCTCAAATTCATGACAGTCTTTGAGGCTCACAAGTATAAACTACAGGAAAGTAATTTTAGGGGCTGGAGAGATGGCTCAGCAGTTAGGAGCACTGGCTGCCCTTCCAGAGGACTTGGGTTCAGTTTCTAGCACACAGTGGGTAAATCACAACCACCAAATAAATAAAAATAACCTTCTTTTGGTTTCTGAAACAATGTTTCATTGTGTATCCCTAGCCTTCCTAGAATTTACTCTTTAGACCAGTCTGGCCTCAAACTCATCTGCCTGTCTCTGCCTCTTTAGTACTGGGATTAAAGGCATGTACCACCACCACCTGGCCCCAATAATTTTTTAAAAATAAAAAGTTTTTAATATAGATGACCATTGAATACAACCTGGGAGGCTGAAGAGATAACTCAGATTAGGAGCA